ATAAGGTCCCACCTTATCCAAAGCAAACAATTAAGCCGGCCTTATCATCAAGCCAACTATTATACTTTTCCCACGTCACCGTAATTTCAAGAAAAGAGAAAAATTACTCACATTAAATTCTTGCACAAATTGGTTTAAAACTTAGAAAAATACGTGTTTCTTTACTCTTGTAGCTCATCCTCAAGATATTATGAATTGAAAACTTAATGAGATTATGGATCACGAAGTTATAACTCATTGTATATGCGAGAGTTGGAAAAAGAGTTCGAACGAGATTTTTGTTTTCGTCTTCTCGAAAGGATTTGGTGTGTGTAACATCACTCGTTATAATTATGATTCTTGTACATTTTATTGCTTGCGTTTCCAGTATTCTATTGAAGCTAAATTATTGTTAGTTCAGACTGATATAGTAGCACGTCCGCAAATACGTTATGGTTTCTAGATGCCGGCGGAGAAAGTAGCAAAAGAAAGATTAAGAAGAAAGGGCATCACGCACTATCCCACATGCAAATTTAGTTGGACACTGATTCAATTCAATATAGAATTGACCAAATTAAAGATTAAACAACGTATTACTTGTAAATTAAAATGGTATATATTATTATGCAAAGTTCAACCCTAAAATTATTCGTGTAAAAAAGACATTGCCTGACTTGCCCTCCAGTTGTGCCACAAATTTAGGACAAAATTTTTTCATGCCCCTTGCTTGAAAATGAAATCCCATACGTCCACGTTCAAATTTTTTTCACAGCTCATTCATATTCAATCTCATATATATATGGCGTTTTCATGCATATAATTATTGAAAATATTCATTTAAAATGTCAAATAATCTCCAAGTTAATTGTACATTTTATGCAAATTGCAAGTAAATGTCAACAAGCAACTGTATGACATGAACCCAAGTACTTATATAAATGTAATCACATGTGATCTTATCAACTTTATTTATTTTAATTTATTTTAATCTTCATGTCAGTGTCAACTAATTGAATTTATCGTTACGATATATTGATATAAGAATTTTCGAGTTCGACTGATTAGTAAATAGGATTGATGTGTGCTGCTTATAAAGCAATAATTTAATTTTTTTAAAAAAGAATAAGAGCAATTTAAGGAGATAAAAAATGAATCCATGAAGTGTGATCATCCAGAAGAATGTGACAGTCTTTTGTTCTTTGCAGTCGTCTGACTTTCGAGATGCATTTCATCAAAACGTAAACCATTGGAAGTTGGAACTTTCTAGTTATGCTGATTGGACTTTTTTGGGTCAGAAGTTATGCTGACTGGACTCATATCCATATATGTAGTCACGTGGACCCCAACGAGAAAAAGCCATCGTCAGCCACGTGTTGCTTCCTTGGATGTGACACTTGGCATTGGATTAGAGCATCAGATGAGGATGAGGGGCTTCTTATTAGGAGGCCTTATGGTTGGATGTTTCCTAATAGGATTGTGCTTCTAGAAGTCAAAGTTAATCAGAAGCTGATTTTGATTTGATATATAAATCTCACACGTCATTTCTTTTTCAAACAAAATAACATCATCCAATTAGGCTCAGATTATAGGAAAATTTTAGATCAAAGATTATAGGAAGATTTTGGACCAAAGATTATAGGAAGGTATTTAATTCAAAAACTCATAAACCGTTACATTCCGTTCTTGTAGGCCCTCCGACAGATTAAGTTTTGGGATTTGACAGAAGAGTTTACTTTTGCATAGTAGAACTTTGATATGAGAATCAACTAATGGAATTCGTATGCAGTACGAAATCCCTACTATATACGTGATCTGTGAGATAATGACACGTTTATTTTATTTGAAATACATATTACAAATATTTCGATTTTTGACTTCCTATCCTTTTACTAACACATACCAAATCAAAAAATACGTGGGCGCCAATTTACAATATGTAATCCACAATTCATTAGAAAAAGTCTGAAATTGGATTGATTGAAGGTAGTTGATCTCATACCTATTTTCATGATCCCATACATATTCTTAATTTTCCCAATTCACGAGTTACCTCATTCCATATAAGTAAATGACGTAACCGCTTACAAAGTAGCATAGCATCCAAAGATATGTAGCTGTTCCCGAAGCTACATAAATAGAGTTTGGAGACCAAATTTAATAGAAGGATAAGGTTAACACGTATGAATTTGATTTTGGGTATGAGATGATGAGATGTGGTTGATTGAATAAATGTGTATAGCCAGAGTTAGCTGTTTCATTCATATTTTCACATTGGAATTGAAAGAGAGTTTTGTTTTGATCAATACGGACGACTTTTTGAGTTTTATTCATACTCAGAGCCAGTTTTATAGGATGATGAGGGATTGAAGGAACCCAAAAAGATTTTTGAGTGTAGATGTGATTTCAATGAATGAATGAATCTATAGCAGCTGCTGCTAAAGCCTATCAGTTCACACTGGATCTGCAGCAATGTGATTCTTGTGCATAATATTTTATTTTTTTTGGTGCTTAAAGTCATATATATCAGTCTTTTTTTGTTTCAAACAAGGATCTTGGGTTCTTTATTCAGGATAAAAGAGGCACGAAGCACCCTTTCCAATCTCACTATTCAGTCGTCTTTGTATAGTTATCTTTTAAAAAACACATTGTATCTCAATTGGGACAGCCAAAAAGCTCCAAGTTATCAAACACGTGAGCCAACGGGTACCTTGACTTGCAGACTAATAGTCTCAGGTTCAAATCCCAATGACACATTGGCAGTTTGTGTGCGAGAAACCCCATCTTCATTGTATTTTAGACTATCGTTTGTATTTTAAAAAAGAGTAAAAATAGATAGAGCTAAACGAGTTTTTATAAAATATAGCCAAAATTTAGCTCTCAAATTCATAAACGTCAATTTTTTTTAAAACTTTCAAATATAACAAAAAACTCACTTAAATTGTCCCAAATGCCCTCTAAATTAAAACCTAACAAAAAGAGCTAATTGTCATGCTCTTCCAAGCCGTCGGCAGAGTACTGAGCACAAGGGCACTGCCCTTAAGTGGGCTAAGCCTCACTCTCCCCCGCTACCCTCAAACACAAGGACACTGCCCCTCGTCAATCGCCCTTAATGGATTTTATTTGCAGCAGTTTTTAAGGGTTTGGATACATACATTTCATGGAAAACAATTATCGACAATATCATGTTTTACATGCACCCACACTAGATGTATTTTTGTTTTTTTTCTCTTTTTTTTCATTTCATTTCATTATTATTTTTATTTGATAAAGGTATAAGGGAAGCGAAGTTAATATAGGCAAGTTTGTGTTGTGGGAAGATAGTTTGCCTTGAAATTTTTCTGGAGTTCTTGTGCTGAGGGAAGGCAGAAGCACATATGCTGGTTTGCAAGAAAGTTTAATCCCCGCATAAAATGCGGGGCAAAAACAAATTTATTCATTTATGATACGAATTTTGCAAGAAAGTTCCACTCAATTTTTTTCAATTAAAAATTATTATGTCAAGAAACTGCCTTTTAACTTTTTTATTATTATAAATTTATGATAGGATTCATAGGCATATTGGGTTAGTGCTCATGCTATTTTGGGTTTTAGGTGTAATTGAGATTTAAATTAAAGGGCATTTAGGTCAATTTAAGTGAGTTTTTTTACTATATTTGAAAGTTTTTTCAAAAATTGACATTTATGAATTTGGGGGCTAAATTTTGGCTAAATTTGATAAAAACTTGAGCTAAACGTACATAAAGATGAGTCTGCGAAGATTATGACCAAACCAGGCAATTAGCTTCATCATTGATGCTATATATTGCAAAAATGACCTATAAATACAGGCCAGAGCCTCACAAAAGCCAGCCATTCACCTCTCTGTAGACATAAAATCTTCTAAGTGTGACAATCTGTGTTATGTAAGGAACAAACGGGCAGCCTACACCATCAAATAGGGGCTTTTAACAAGTTAACTCCTCTTCCAAAGATGAGTGCTAAGAAGATAAAATCAGTGTGAACACAATCTTTCCCACTTGTAGGTTCTTCATAATCATGGCCCTGCATAAAGATATGCACCAGAATGTTTCATTATGGTATGAGCTTCGGTCGTATGGAGGAAATGATTATTAAGTGGTTTTCTTGGTGCCTGTGAAATAAGATTTTCAAATGGCCTTTTTTTTTCCTTACCATTGTAGCCTCAAATTTTTATTAAAAGAAAATGAGAACTAACAAAGAATTTGTGTCAATATGTAAGACCTTTAAAACCTCAAGACTGACCCTAGGTGGAGTCAAGGACAGCAATCTGCATAGTTAGGAAGGTCGAACGTCTCCAAAAAGGGTCAAAACATTTTATGATTCAATGGATTTAAAGGTTTCTGTGAGCATATACAGCAGTTAGAAACAGTTAGATTTTGATAATGAAATTTTAAGTACACGAGAAGTGAGGCGAATTTGCCTGCTCTACGCACCCTGGAGACAGGATTCTGACCATTACAAAATGAAAATATGGACACCTAAATATCCCCAACAGTTTTAATTTAGTAACTCCCTCTCACCTTAAACATCCCACATACTCATACCCACCACCTCTCATTAGCAACACAACCCTAGGATTTAATTCAAAAGGCTGTCCTGCATCAAGTGTAAACTTAAATTTGACTTGCCCACCACCAAATTCAATATTGTATAGAGGTGATTCCTGCAGTCCACTATCACTCGAGTATCTTGCAATGACAAGGAGTTTGGCATCAGAAAGAATGTTACCAAACATCAATCCTAATCCTCAGGACACCCCATGTACTAAGAAACTATAAAGGAAAATCCCCTAAAGGTGACCCCAAAAGGGTTGGCATGATTTTCAGGACTATTTGTTTGTAGTACGACGGCTCTATTCATTGAACCAGGCCCTTGGCATTATCTCACAAGGAATTTCACTTTGGTGCTTAACCCGCTAATATATATTTCCAAGTAATTCTACATTCATATTGTTTAACTGCATCACTTACTACGATCTTCAATCCCAGACAAAGAAGCACAACTGTAACAAAGGCAAGCATGCCCAAAATTCCCACGTACACAACTAACATTCTAAAAGAGAGATTCAGGTAATAAATAACTAAGCAACTAGCATTCTCTGAAAAAAAACGGAAAAAAGTTACAGCTTTATCCAAGTAAACTATACAGAAGCAGACATGAGTTTATTTTGGTATCTAAACTCTGAGACATCAGAATCTAGAAAGAGAAAAAACACATACAAAGGCGCAGCTTAGGTCCAGCAAATACATTCATTACTTACCACCTCTATAAGAACTTTTCTATGCTGGTGGTTAATGTGGATTTGGGAACAGCGCCAATAACTGTATCTTTTTTCTCGCCACCCTTGAATATCATGACAGTCGGGATGCTTCGAATCCCATATTGGGTTGCAATTGCAGCGCCTTCATCAGTGTTTACTTTGTAGCATTTGAGCTTCCCAGCATATTGTTTTGCCAGTTCATCAATTATAGGGTGGATCATACGGCAAGGCCCACACCATGGGGCCCAGAACTCAACCAAAACAGGGGAGTCTGATTCAAGAACAAGTGACTGCCACGTTGCATCAGTAACAGGAGGCACTGCAAATTTTTAAACTACTTACAATCAATAATAAAAATTACAACACTGCTAAGAGTGATAAACAAACATATGTAAAAACTAAAAGCTTCCTAATGCTCCGGAGACAGATTGCATAGAAAGAAACAACCAGTTCAATAAGCACACCTGCTAGGTCAAAACAAAACTTTTCTTATAAAATTTTTAAACCATTATTATGCTTGATCTATTGCCTATAAACAGGTCCTGATATATTGACCTTAGATAAGTAAACGTATATACTTTCATAAGTATAATAATGAAAAGTAAGCATGCATCTACCCATAAGTTTGGTCCCATCACTAATCGCTCCCAGCATCCCTAGGTTTATTATTATATTCTGTCTTTAATGATCAGTCACCATAATTCTGTAAACATTTCGCCTGAGCTCGTAACATTGACTTCGGAATAATTTAGCCAGTCACCATGAATTAAGTCCCTTGACAGTCACAAAAATGGTCTGTCTTTAGGCCACCAGGCAGTATTTCCACTATCCACTGGTTCAACCAAAAAATTACGAGAAACCAAAAATTACTAAGATAAAGATTGCCTAAGACTCTAAAGTTCATCTTCAGAACCATTTGACGATGCTTCTTACATGAGCTCATCCTCAGTTGTCAGTTCCTACTATCTTTCCAGATTCACAATCTCAAACTATTTTTGAGTGAATCCCAAGTTTTCTCATAAAGTTCTAAAACCAATATAATATACTTCTTCAATCTCAGCGGGACACTAACATCTCTTCAGATCAGCTATTCCATTTCCAATTGTTTGCCAATTGTTTCCTTTCATTTTCAAACTCTTTACAAGAAATTCCTGCCATCGCATCAACTACTTATGATAGCTATACTATGAAACGTCTTTACTCAATTATCTCAGCTACCATGCTGAAAAAACAGAAACTTTCCAAGGCTGCAAGCTCAAAATTTTCAACTTTACAAAATAAACCATTTCAATCAATCATCTGATAACAACCCAAAAATCAAACCAATAATAAATAGACAAAAATGACGTAACTAATAGAAATGAGAAAAAAAACAAAAAAAATCCCTCTTTTATACTTAATTTCCAGACAACAAAAACACATCATCTTAAAGTAAACAAGCTAAAATCATGACAGGAATGGCGAAATTACGAAACTGACCTTCGACAGCGGTGTCCTGAGCCTCGCAGACGACGAGCCCACCTCGGCGATGACGAGCTCCTCCGGCAGCGGGACCGTAACTCAGCGATCCGATAGAGCGAGTTCGGAGAGCGGACCCCACCTTGAGGCCTCTGTAGTGACGCAATCCAGAGCGGCCGGACAAGGACGAAACCGAGGCGGCGGCGGCGATTGGAGAGAGCGCAGCCGAGGAAGGCAGGGCGGAGGAGCGAGGAACGACGAGAGAGTCGAGGACTGTAGCCATGGCCGCAGAGGATCGGAGCTGAAGAGAGAGAGAGAAGTGAGAGAAGCTTTATTGTGATGGGGAGATTTTTAGGGTGGAGACGGAGTAGTTGATGGAGGAGATGGAGATGGAGTTAGAGCAGGCAGCGAGCGAATGGATGGGGAGTAGTGTGGCTAGCAAAGGCATTTGGTATTATTGGATCAGACGACAACTGAGGGGGTCAACTTCTCTCCTTTGACTCTTCCTGCTTTTTGGTGAAGTGACCAATCAAATTCCACCACCTCACCACCACTATTAACAATTTCGATTGAAATAATTTTATTTATGGCATCTATTTTTTTCTCTTTCTTTTGTATTTTTTTTTGCATTGTTTTAGTGAGAAGAAAAAGAATTTTGCTAAAAATAGTATGACAACAATTTAATACTTGAAAGATATGTTGGGAATTGCTCCTTGTCTCCATTTGATGATTTTACATCAATCCTTGTAGTGTGTACCTCCAAATATGTTTGTTATCTATGGCTTCAAATTAAGAGTAGTAATCAATTTAGATTTATACAAATTTTTTGTGGAGTTTACCTTTTTTTTAAAAAAATTTAGAGGAGGGTCCTATTGAAAAAATAATAGCCTCATGACTACATGTGGTTCATGAAACGCAATTTTTTCGAACTTCCATGAGTTTCGAAAGTAATTTGTAAAACGGAATGAGTTTCAACGAATAAGAGAGTATTGTGTAAAATGAAAAATCCAATACCGACACTCTAAAACTAATGAATTTTGTTTTCTATAGAATTAATAACATTTTCGATAGAAAAGTAATTTAATAGTGGCTATTATTTTTTTCCAATTTTTGTTTGCATCTTTTTGGTAAGCAGAAAAAAAAACAATTGCTAAGAAAAGTATGGCAACAATTTAATACTTGAAAGATGTTGCATTTGCTCCTTGTCTCCGCTTGATGCCTTCACATCATCCTTGTCTTGTAACTCCTAACATATGTGGTCTTTTTTTTTTTCATGTTGGTGCTTCAACGTTAAAAATGTGTATATTTCTTTACCATTATCATCTACCGCTCTAAACTATGCTCATTTAGGACTATTTTTTTTAGGAAGCACTTCTACCAAAAATGCTTTTATTATATAGATGTTGACATTTTCATGAGAAATCTATGTAGAAGTGCTAGAAAGCACTTGTATGTGTTGGTGCATAAATTGAATTAAGAGAACAATATTACCCGAAAAATACAATATGTAGCTATGAACAATTCTTGGGATGAGTCGCGGACTAAGTCGCTCTCTTTAAGACGTTTCGCGGCTCCGCTCAATTTGTGCAAGCAGATCAGAATGCCACTACGTCCCCAGGATAAAATAGTCCCAGAATCTCCTCTGTCTAGGTTCTTCTTTGCACTAAGGAAGGAACCAAATACAAACACCTTTCTGACTATGTTGCTTAGAATCTCAGTAAAATAAATAGGAGGAAGAGAGAATTTCACATGAGAGAAGAGGAAGAAGGATGTAGCTTTTTTTTTTTTTTTTTTTTTTTTTT